AGCAAACATGCACAGTTCTTCAACTGCCATCTGACTGTTCTGGAACTTGTGGGTTCTGATTCTCTTTCAAGCGTTGAAGAGACTCCAGAATCTGAGATGGACACAGTGGGATGTCATTGCCCTTTGCTGCCTAGAGAGTAGAATGAATTTGCTCCCAGTGCAAGAGGTGAGCTACTGCATGTCACACACCAACCATATCAGAGGCAGAGTTGGAGGAACCTGATGCAGTGCTAATCCATCCCAGGAGGAGCTACAATAAAAAAGAATGGGCCTATGTCCCCAAATTCAGGGGGAGGGATGTAGTGATTGTAACAAGGTCAGCCAGGTGGACCTCAGTCTAAGTTACCTGATTGGACCAGGTTACTAGCCCCAATCAGGAAGCCCTGGCTGACAGATATAAACAGGAGTGTCAGAGGTTCTGTTAACGCTGAGGGAGCTGGATCAGTGTCAAGGATTCTCCACATGTAAATAAGGGGTGACTTGGTTACTCTGTAGTTATTTCAGTAAGTATTTCTGTAGCTGTGACTTTTCTTAGAACACAGTTTTAGACAGAAATTCTGGACAGAATGGGGTTTTAAATCCATTGAGAGAATTGAAGAGTAAACAATTGTATATTCTGACTTTAGACAGTCAGAGGTTGTTGGTTCTTTTTTCCCTTTTTTTTGATTGAGAAGCACCTATAGGTTGGCAGGGAAATAGCATGGGGGTTTCAGTTTGGCAGTTTGAGAAGTTGTGGCTGAAGCTGTGTTCCTAAAACAGTTGGTCCTGACAAAACATGGTTTAGATCTGTCTTTTTTCTAAAAACAAAAAAGGGGATACCTAAGTATAAGCAGCTTAGCTGAAGTTTCAGACCAGAAGTACTTGGTGACAATTCTAAAGGGTTTATTAGAATCAGAAAGTCTAAGCTCAGTTGTATGAAGGCTCCAGAAAGAAGCTAAGAGTCTCAAGGCAGGGAACTGATGCCAGGGTTAAACTAAGTTAAGAAGGAACTGCTCTCAGGTGTAAGTAATGAATAGGGGACTAATGAGATTGTATTTTCACCAAATGAGCCACAATGATTTGAAAAAGAAACACTTGATGCTGACCAAATTTCTGCAATGTGTTATAATGTGGAGGCACAATTTAAGAAAGATGGTAAGGAAAAAAACAAGGGAACTATAGACTGGTGAACCATAAATCAGTGGTGGGAAAGTTCTTGGAGATCCCGATGAACAGGATTTACATGTATTTGGAAAGGCAAGGACTAATTGGAGATAGTCAGCATAGCTGTGTGTGTGAGAAACGATGTCTCATGAACTTGAGTTTTTGTTTTGAAGTAACAAAGATGATTGAGGGCAGAGCAGTGGATTTGATCTATATGGTCTTCAATAAGGTGTTCAAAGTTCCCCATGGAACTGGTTAGCAAGATTGTGTCACATGGAATACAGAGAACTAGCCATTTGGATAGAGAGGAGTCCTTGGAGTGCTGGTTCATAGTTCCTTGAAAGTGGAGTCCCAGGATAGTGAAGAAGGCACTTGGTATGCTTGCCTTTATTAATCAGTGCATTAGGAGTTGAGGTCATGTTGCAGCTGTACAAAACAGTAGTTAGGCCACATTTACAATACTGCATACAGTTCTGCTATAGGTTGGATGTTGTGAAACCTGAAAAGTTCAGAAGAGATTTGAGGCTATTGCCAAGGTTGGAGGGTTTGAGCTATAGGGAGAGGCTGAAAAGGCTGGGGCTGTTTTCCCTGGAGTATCAGAGGCTGAGGGGTGACCTTATAGAGGTTTATATCATGAGGGGAATGGATAGAGTAAATAGACAAGATCTTTTCCCTGGGGTGAGGGAGTCCAAAACTAGAGGGCATAGTTTTAAGGTGAGAGGGGAAGGATTTAAAGGGGCAACTTTTTCATGCAGGGGGGTGGTGTGGTATGGAATGAGCTGCCAGACAAAGTGATGGAGGCTGGTATGATTACAACATTTAAAAGGCATCCAGATGGGTTCATGAACAGGAAGGGTTTAGAGGGATATGGGGCAAATGGAACTAATTAATTTAGAATATCTGGTTGGCGTGGATGAGTTGGACCGAGGGGTCTGTTTCCAAGCTAAACGGCTCTGATTCTAAGTAACTAACTAAAACTAACAGTTTTTTCTTTGCAGTAGAACTTTGGAGTCTCTTGAACACAATCAAACAAAGGTTTATAGATCAACAATCTCCATGGGAACAGTGTTATCATTCGATATACATCACAATCCTTCCAAACAATCAAAAACTACTTGATCAGGAAGGAAATCTTAGAAGGAACCAAACAGGATTCACTGAATTTATAAAATTAGGAAATTGAGGGGAAATGGAGTTAGTCATAAACCTACTTTACATTTTTGTAATCATTGTATAGAAAATGTCATGACCAAAATAAATCTTGTGGGAGATACTGTATAAGGGAGGAGTACATGAAAGTGTTAATGATCATCAATAGATAAACTCTGCCCAACAACATATAATAGACTGATCTTGGGAGGAGCTAATGGATTCAAACAGAGTTGCCCAGTTTCAGTGCCTGCTGTTTTGCAGCAGCTCCTTCATCCAGGATGAAGCAGCCCATTTAACTGGTACCAAATCAACAAACATCCACTCCCTCCCCCACTGATGCTCAGTAGCAGCAGTGTGTACTATCTACAAGATGCACTGCAGAAATTCACCAAAGATCCTCAGACAGCACCTTCCAAACCCATGACCATTTCCATCTAGATGGATAAGAGCAGCAGATACATGGGAACACCACCATCTACAAGTTCCCCTCAAAGCCACTCACCATCCTGACTCGGAAATATATCACTGTTACTTAGTATTAATGGGTCAAAATCCTAGAATTCCCTCCCTAACGGCATTGAGTCAACCCACAGCAGGTGATCTGCAGCTGTTCAAGAAGCCAACTCACCACCACCTTCTCGATGGGCAATAAATTCTAGAACAGCCAGTGATACCTACATCACCCGAAATGAAAAGAAAATTCTCAAACGTTTACTGCATCCTCTGTAATGCTCAGCTCCTGGGCTGCAGTATCTAGAGTTGTTTTACAAATTACTGATCCATATGTAAACTCCTAACAAGGCTCCCCTTAAGTGAGGATGACGACACAGCTTAAGGCTCGGCTCGAAAAGGTAGGTTTATTAATGTTTATAGTGCATAACTTCACATGGCATTTCAATGTTACCCTTGCAAATTCTTTCTTGTTATCTTGCTTCAACATGTGCCCTTCAGATACTCCTGCTACAGATGATTGAGTAACACTGAACTGCTGCGAGCTGGATTCCTTCTTCGACATGCTATATTGCTGCTGTTATTCAGTGTTTTGTTTGTGGAGGTTATCTGGTACTGGGTGGATCTGCAGCTCCAGGGGTTCCCACCTCCTGCTTATTGTCACTAAAGAATGTTCTCCTCAGGAAAACATATTTTGGTGTTGTCGAGAATTTCACAAAGTTAAAGGGAAAAAGACTGATCCTCATTCTCTCAGCAAGAAAGCTAAATAAATACAAGAGAGTTACAAAATGGGACGGGAATTAGAGAAGGAGTGATCGTAGGAATGTCAGGGAGGGGAAAAATATTAATAGCTGTCAAACCATGTTCACAGGCACACAATCCCACACACACTCTCGGACTTACGGACACACAGATCTAGAGCACAGAAAGAGGCCCTTCAGTCCATCAATTATGCACCAGTCAAAAACGACAAAACTATTCCAATCCCATTTTCCAGAACTTGGCCTCAGCTGCCTTGGCATTGAAGAAGGATTTAGATGTATAACTGCAATGTGCTGAGGGTTTCCATCTCTCCCACCCTTACAGGCACCAAGTTCCACATTCCACCACCCTCTGGTGGGGGGAAAAAAATTCCTCACATCTCCTCTAAACCTTCTGCTTACTGTAAATCTGTAAATCTTAAATCCCCAATCATTCATCCCTCCATCAAGGGGAAAGGCTCCTTCCCGTTTACCCTATCCATGCCCCCCATTCTTACGGGGGACAGACATGTCCCCTTCAATCTCCTGTGGTCCAAAGAAAGCAACCTCAGTGTCCAATCTCTCTTCAGAACTAAAATATCCAGGACAGACATGTTGGTAAATCTCATGTACCGCCAACACACCACCACCGCGCACCCCCCCCCCCCGCCACAATGCTAATTCGCACTCACTCACTCTCTGACTGACACGCATGCACGCACAATTCATCCATGCTGACTATGTTCCCAAGATAAACTAGTCCCATTTGCCTGCATTTGGGCTATATTCCTCCAAAACCTTCCTATTCATGTACCTTTCCAAATGTCTTTTCTACAGACTTACTTACATGCAGACACACATTCTCACAGATACACTGTCTCTCACACACACTCATTCACTCTCAAAGACACACTTTATCACACACACACCCAAGACACATTTTCACTGACTCACAAACACACAGGCACACACTCAGACACTCTCTCAGTCAGATACACAGACACACTCTGCCACACTCAGACACTCCCACACTTAGACACACACTCTCACTCACATTCAGACACACACATTGACAATCAGTCGGAGACACACACTC